AGTGTCATTTTTTTTTTTTTTTAATTCTTTATTTAAGAGATTTTTAGCCTTAGGCTAGTTCATCTCTAGTCAGTTGTTGAGGTCTCAGAAGGAGAACCTCCTACGGAGTTGTTGGACATAGTAGGCTTAAAATGAGTTTCTCCTGACAATGCCTGGGGGGAACACCTTCATGAGGGCCAGAAGACTCATCCCATGTGATGCCCCTCCGGCTGCTGAGGCTGTAAGGTGACAGCTCTCCTGGCTCTTCACGAAGACGACAACAAGTTCAAAATGAATAACACAAAACTGAACGAGACGACACCGTGACGAGGTCCAAAGGCTCATCCCGTGCGGTGCCGTCCCGACAGTCAGAAGAAATTAAACATATAAACAAATGAACGAGTATACAAACGAATATAACAGCTATGGCTTTCCTAGATCTCATGGTATAGGTTAGCTTCCCTGAGGAAAACTAGCAGGGCGTCTGCAGCGGCTGAATCCTCTCCGAGTAGGTTCTGGATGCTGGAGGTGATCTCATAGGATTCCCTGAGGTCCTGGAATTCAGGACAGATGCAGAGGACGTGTTCAACGGTGGCCGGGAGATGGCAGATGGCACAGCTTTTGCGGAAGGGACCTCCGCCGCCGAAATTATAGTAAAACCGACAGTGGCCAGTCCTCAGCCTTGAGAGCACTCTCTGATCCCGGAGGTTTGGGAGGTCCGTCCATGCCTCCGTGGTTCCTTTGATCTTCCGGATGAAAGGCTCTCGAGTGCTGAACCACTGGTCGGCCCAGGCTTTCTGTACGGTTGTTTTGATCCATCGCCGGAGATCTGGAAGGGGGACTTTGTCCGTGAATCTCGGACCCGCCGGTCCAGTTCCAGCAAGTTTGTCTGCTGCTTCATTACCAGGTATTCCGCAATGACTGGGGATCCATGTAAAAATGGTGCTGCTCGGGGCGTATTCGATGGTAGCTTGAATCCACGGGTGGGTGGGAACTGCTGAAGCTAGCTCTTGGATAGCACTGAAGGAATCAGTTAGTATTACGATTGGCTGGTTTGCTGGTGACGTGGCCGCATGGAAGATTGCGGCCGCTTCGGCCGAGTAAACGGAGCATTGTTGTGGTAAGCTGCTGCTAGCGAGTATGCCACTTCCGGATACTCCGATGCCAACGCCCGTGTTGGATCGGGAACCATCGGTGTACCGGTGAGTGTGTTCGGCGTAATGGGTTCGGAGGCGTTCGATTACTGTGCGACGGAGGGCCGCGGAGTTGTCTCCTGCTTTAAATCGATTTTTTATGTGATAGTCAATATGAATGCTGGAAGAGAGCCAGTTCTTCTCTCCGTTCCAGTGGGTCCTAGCCACTGGGGGGAGGTCAATGCTGGCGATCGTCTGCAGGATTCTGTCCCCCTCGTCGAGGAGGAAGATTCTGCCGTTTCCTGCTGTCTTGGCGGCGAAGGATGCAGCTTTGAAGATGGTAGCGTTAATGATGCGGTACCGAAAGGGTAGAACCCCTGCTTCAACACAAGCGGAATCAGCGGGGGTGGAAGGTAGAAGGCCAGAGATTATCCTGATGCTGCTGTTGAAGGTTGGACCGAGGATCTCAACCTGCTTCTCAGAGTTGATACACGTGAGCTCTGTTCCATACAGCAGCCTGCTATCGATGATAGCTTGCGCTACCCGGAAGCGAACTGCCCGATTATTAGTGCGATGGGGCCTGGAGATGGTCCGGATCAGGTTAACTCTGCTTCGGCAGTCTTTTTTGACCTGGTTGAAGTGCGGCACGAAGGAGAGGGTGCGGTCCACAAGTACCCCCAGGATACGAATGGATTTCTTGATGGGGATAGCCTGGTCGCCAATCTTAATGGCGGTCCCGTTGACCCGGTGTCTTGAAGGGCAGACGTGGCATCTGATGCTTTTTTTGGCAGAGAGCTGATAACCGGCAGTTTGGGCCCATTTTACTACGGCTGAGACCGCGGCTTGCGTGAGGTTCCGGGTGCGTGTTGTGGTGGGCCCCGTTACCACGATGAGGACATCGTCGGCGTACACAAAGATGCGGATGTTCTTTGGTAACTGGCGGAAGATTCCGTTCATCGCGATAAGGAAGAGTGTGACGGAGATCACTGATCCCTGGGGGACCCCCGTTTCCTCCTGAAAGCTCCTGGATTTGGCATTTCCGATAGCAACATGGAAAATACGGTCAGTGAGGAAGTTCCGAACGAAGTGGACCATGTGTCCGTTAAGTCCCCAGCTGACGAGTTTGGCAAGTACAGCCGGAGTCCAGGTCCTGTTAAAAGCCTTAGAGATGTCTAGTGAGACCATTTCAGTGTGGTGTCCCTGGTCGAAGGCGTCTTTCAGCACGTCTCCCAGTGTGGCGAAATAGGTGACCTAAAGGCGTGTTGTCGATGGTCGAGAAGATTGTTGGTCTCCAGGAATGTCCTGAGTCTGCGATTAACCATCCGCTCGAAGACCTTGCTCATGCAGGAAGTGAGTGCGATGGGCCGGAACTTCGTCGTGTCCTTCGTGTTTTCACTCGTCTTCGGGATTGGAATAACCAGGCTCTCCCTCCAGGATGCTGGATAGGAGTCGGTGGTCCAGAGCTTGTTGAACAGGTCGAGCATCAGGACTTGCCCTTCGATCGGTAGGTGTGATAGTAGGGGGTACCCGAGTTCGTCGGGACCCGCTGATTTCCCCTTGCTCTTGCTGAGTGCAAATTTCAGCTCCTCCCATGAGAAAACCCCATTTATCCTGGTGTTATTGTTATCATTCGGAACGTTGAAGTTACCTATGGAGGTCGGTGTGGCGTTGTTGCGGCGACGGAAGTTCTCGCTGTATCCGGGAATAGCCGAAAGCTCCGCGAAGTATTTGCCTAACTCATCGGCTACGGCTGTTGGCTCTGATACGGTGATGCCACCGGACTGCACTTGCAGTGGGGCTGAACGTCTCTTTCCGCTTAGCGCATTTACCCGGTTCCAAATGTCTGCCGAGGACTGGGAAGCGTCGATGCTGTCGAGAAAGTTCGTCCAGCTCTCTTGCTTGGCACTTCGAATCGTTTTCCGGCATTGGATGTGAAGTTCACGGTAACGTTCGAGGATGCCGTCTCTGTCAGGGTCGTCTGGTCTAGTCTTTCTCAACTTACGGAGGGCCTTTCGTCGGGCCTTCACCGCTGCCTTGGTTTCGTCGGACCACCATCTGAGAGCCTTCCGTCCGGGGATGCTGCTGGTTTTGGGTATTGAGGCGACGGCTGCTTCGAGGATTAGTTTCGTAAGGTCGGGGATATTGCCTGGATTCTGCTCCTGGATACCGGTGAGAATGGCGTTCCTGTACACCTCCCATTCGGCTTTGTCATACATCCAGCGTGGTCTACGGGTGGTTTCTGGGGCTGTGGCAGATGAGAGTTGGATCTGGATCGGGTAGTGATCGCTGCCGTACAGGTCAGCGTTGGAACACCACGTAACCTTTCCAGCCATGGAACGGCTGACCGTAGAAACATCGATAGCGGTGGCGTGTCTCCCATTAAAGAACGTCGGGTTTCCATGGTTAAGGACCGTCATGTCCTCCTGCTCGAAAGTATCCATAAGGAGGCTTCCTCTGGGATCCGAGCGAGGGCAGCCCCAGGACGGGTGGTGCCCATTGAGGTCACCAACGAACATCCTCGGTTCGGGCAACTTCCTGAAAACATCTGTCATTTTGTTGGCAAGATTTGACACGTACGTTCTCCCGCATGGCAGATACGCACAGGCCACCGCAATGTTCGCTGGCTCTTCCAGTTGAACGGCGATGATTGGAAGATCGTCCCCTAGGTGGATTTCGCTGAATGGTATATTCTTCAGGACTCCGATGGCCACAGAATGCCGAAAGTTCCTTCCTCTTTTTAGGACCCATGTGTATTTTCCGCCAAGCGAGCGGTTCATCTGGTCCACCGTCACCTTGTTGACTTCCTGGAGGGCTATGACCCAGGGTGGATTGCTGTGACAGAGCAGCTCCAAATCGCTAAGGTGGCTTAGAAACCCGTTGATGTTCCACTGGAGAGTGAAGTTGATAGGAACTGGTAAGGCGGGAACAGGATGCCTGTTGGTGTTTTCATCTGCGGAGGGGCAGCTCGATTCTGCCGTTTCGCTGATGTCGAAAATGTAAGAGGGTTCGGTAAGACTTACGCTACTGCTTGGTGACTCACTACGTCCAGAATGAGACGGGGCCCCACCGGGGGCAGGCGGAGGCGTTTCGCCCACCCAAGGCAGGGATGTCCCAACGGCGGTGTGATCGGTGTTGTCCACGCTGGTATTGCTAGTCGACTCCCGTTCCGTGTTTAGGTCCACGCGACTGGTATCGAGTGTGTCGTTGACCGTGTGTACAGGGTTAAGCTGTTCGCTGTGCCCGGAATAAAACAGAGCCCCACCGGGGGCAAGCGGAGGCGTTCCGCCCACCTCGGGCAGGGATGTCCCAACGGCTGAGTAGGAGGAGGTTGCTTCTGGTGTGTGTAGGTTGTTGAAAGGCTCCGCTAGGGTGCTCGGTGACGCTGTTGAATGAGACGGAGCCACACCCCGAACAGGCGGAAGCGTTCCGCCCGTCCGAGGCATGGATGTCCCAGCAACGGAAAAAAATGTGTTGCGTGTCATGTCGCTTGGCCTGGTTCCCTCGAAGTCCTTCGGGGAATGGGCGTAACTTCCCTTGTCCGTCCCGATATTTTGCGGTACCTTCATTTCCTTCGGGGAATGGGAAAGACGTCCCTTGTCCGTCCCGATCTTCACGCTTGAAAATGGTCCCTCGCTGTCCTCAGGGGTATGGGTGTTACCACCCTTATCCGTCCCTCTTCCAGGCAGGCTCCGGCTCCGGGGGGTTACCATCAGTTCCGGTGTGGGAAAGACGTCCGCACCGATGGGGCCCCGAATACCGGGACCGAGTGCTGGGTTCTTCTTCATCTTCTTCGTCCTTTGGTCGCAGAGGGTGTCCGCCAGTTCCGGTGGGGTCCTAGCGTCCGCACTGTCGGTGCCCCGCGTACCCAAGGCACAGACATCTTCATCTGGATGACCTGGGCACCGGGGGGTTACCAAAGGTTCTGGTTGGGGTGTGGCTTCCAGTCCAATGGGGCCCCGGCTACCCGAGGCCAGTCGCAGACACGGTTGGTGGTGATGGCTGGTTTCTGTTCTTGGTGTGTTCGTATCGTGGTATGTAGTGTGGTCCGTAAGAGTAGTCCGGGTGGATGGCGTGGGTGGTGTGGACATTGGATGACGAAAAAGAGGAGGCTGCTAGGTCCGCTTCTTTTTGGGTACATCCTTTTTATCCGGTGATTCTGGCGAGGTTTCCCACGGCTTAAGTATTTTGGGAACTTGGGCTGAGCGGGGGGGTCGCCGAGAGTGGTCCAGTTCCGTTATTGGGCGCTTGTGGGTTTTTGGCGTGAGGAAGGTCGGTAGAGGTGTGTCTACCTTCGTGGCGGGATTCGGGCTATTGTCCGGCGTGATGGTTGCGTCACTGGCTGCATCCGACGAAAAGGATAAGTCGCAGGAATCCTTCGGACTGGATGAGGCTGATGCGGGTTTGTTTGCAGGTGTTTCGATAGAGGTAAGCGGTGGTGAGACGCTTGGTTGGCTGTCTCCGAGTTTAGGTGCAGTAGCAGCGGTACTCGGAAGAGAAGCTTCAACGTTAAGCAGTCTTCGTTGCGTTTGTACTTCCGTGGCCATCAAGGCTTTGATGGACTTTTCGAAGCGGTCCTGCATTTGGAGCATTAGGTGGTTGTTCTGCTCCATCTGCAGTTGGAACAGCGCAGTGAAGTCAGTCGGTAAAGGATTGGTTGGAGCGGGAATTGCTTGTTCGATGGTGTTCGGTGCACCTTGCATTTGCAAAGCCGCTTGCAGTTGCAAAATGGTGCGGTCTTTCTCCTTCACTAGGTTGGCCAGTTCTTCGATCTTCCGGTTCATTTGGTCGAGCTTGCCTTCAAGGCTGGCGGATGTAACTCCTGCAAAGGTCCTTGTTCCGTTGCTCTGGTCAAAAAGCCGACGCGCTTCGGGGTAGGATAGATCTCTGTCTACCTTGATTTTTTGTATCGAGTTTTCCCGGATGTAGCTCGGGCAGGATCGATCGGATAGCGAATGCTGATCGGTTTGGCATCTGGCGCAGAACTTGCCATTTGGACACGATCTGTCCTCAGGAATCGGATGATCCCCGGAGCATTTCCCACAAATCGGTTTTGGTGCTTTACAACGCATCCGCGTGTGTCCAAAAGCCCAGCAACTGAAGCACTGCATGGGCGATGGGTAGTACGGACGGGTTCGGCAACGCAAGTATCCAAAGTCGATATATTCGGGAGCATAAGTGCCATGACAGGTGATAATCAGGGTCGCCGTGTTGACCCTGCCTCCACCCTCACGTCTGGTGATTCTCCTAACCTCTTTGATGCCTTGGTCTTTCAGGTCTTCAACTAATTCTTCCTCGGAGTCCCGGATGACGTCCCTACAACTGACGACGAAACGCGTGGAGTTCAGGATAGGGTGCGGGATAACTTCCACCTTTGTTCCGTCAGTTAGTACTTTGAGTTCTTGCAACTTAATGTACTGTTGCGCACTGCGTACTTTTAGGGCGTAGGAACGACCCTGGCCCTCCGGAAAAGCGCTCTCTATTTTGCCATTAACGAATTGTTGAATGGACTTACGAATGATGAATGGGCGATTCGGCAGCGGTTGCCCGTTGGCTCCGCCTGCTCCTTGAATCCGTAGGATCCTGATTCCACCATGGTTCCCTTCTGGATCCATATAGTTGGGTAACGTTGGTCCTCGTTGGTTTCTCATGCTGCCTCCAGGATCGGGTTGATCCCACCATGACGGTGGGTCACCCATGTCAGTCGCCATCACGGCGACCCCAGCCCAGTTCCCTAAAACGAAAACCACTCACCAGAATTAAACGCTGTTTGTTTGCGGATATCTCAATACCACCGTCAGCGACAACCACAATGGAATACCGTGCACAGACGGCGCAGAGAGAATGTTCTGCTATCGGCCACGTACACTACTGTTTTTACTCAAAACACAAAAGTTTTTTCAACCCTCTTTGGAGGGGAATCTTCCGGGGTAAAAACGCGCACTACTATATTGTTTTTAACAATTCGGTGACAAAGCCGTATGTCAACGCCACAGAGGGAATGTTAAAGGGAATCCCTCTCCCGCACGAAAACTTTTCGGGCTGTTTTTCGCTGGTCGATTCCACGTATAATCCCCGAAAAGGTATACGGGCCACCGCTATCCAGTCGCCAATGTAAACAACCCGGTGGGGGTAGAGAGACTCGATTCTCCAATACGACTGATGGTCACACACTAGTGGCTGTTTCACACACGTATAGCGTTCGTCGTAGATGGGAAGCGTGAGAAAGAGAATAATTTTCTCCCACCCAACCCTCGTTCACTTCCCAGATCGTTCTTCACAGTGCGATTACCCGTGTAATCCTTGAAAAGGTATACGGGCCGCCGTAAACCACACACCACAACGGACCGCCCGGTAAAAGGAGAGAAGCTCTATTCTCGAAAACCACGGGTCGGTCACACACTAGCGAAAGTTTCACACACGAAATACGCACGCGGCGGAGGGGGAAACGCAAAAGAGAAAAATTCTCCCGCACTAACACTCACTCCTGTTAATGCCGCCGGTACAATTCAACGGTAGCAGCTCTCAGTTACACGACACACTTAAGCTAACACCACTATCCTTTCGTATGGGACGAAACCAGCAAAAGCCCCTAATATCCGTAGGGGTATACGGACCACGAGATAACACAACAGGAGATCACTGCACAATGAAGAAAACCCCCTCGCCCGTCCCTGCAGGTCGAAAGGGGGTTTAAATTGCCACTTTTCTTCCGATTTTCCTGTATAGCTTTTCCGGATTCACTTTTATTTTACAGGAAAAACTAATGCTCAACGCCTAGTAGTCGCACTAGACGGAGTTTGACACTTAATCACTTGTGTTAATCGCTTTTCAGATAGCGAAAAGATCACTCATCCCCCTCGCCCATAAAGGGACAAAAGGGAGGAATATCGCGAAATTTATCGCCTTAAAAGCACTCGCGACGCTTAATTACGTAAATAATACAGATTATAATTAACACTAGTCACAACTGACAACAACTACGAGTTAAAAATATCACTGTTAACGGTTAAAACGTACAACGTAGATACAATTAAACGATTTAAAAACGGAGCAAAACAAACTCAACAAGTCTGTATGAGAGCCAGCTCATAGATGAGTGACAGTGTCAGTGAAAGGGATTGAAAGTCATAATGAGGCTTAGTTTCAACACAAAAGTCGACGTTACTTTCATAGAAAGGAGAGAGCAAATCAACGACGAGAAAATCCACAACCAGCCTTTCGTTTTAAGCGTGATTCTTTTTCTTTTCGGTTTCGTGCAGATAGTCTTACTAGGCGTTGTAGAAATTATAAGTTAAACACGTTTTATAAAAGAAACAAAACTCGAGTTCATTTTAGAGCTACGAAAATGTAGAGCTCAGACCAATGACCAATAAAAAATTAGATTTTCTTGAAAAACACACCTTTTTATGCACCGTGTTCATTCTCCGACCATTTTCGCCTGGTCCTAAACTGCATAACTGAGCATTGGCAGTTCCAGCCAAAATACCGAAAAGAAATAAATTCTTGAATCGACCTTCTCCTTTTTGTATGAAAGTTAACGTAATTCTAGACGTAATTGTTTGGTATGGGCAATCATTTTTGCAAAAAATTGGAAATTATGGCGTACTAATAAAAAGAAATTTTATCACAAGTTCTTTTCCTACGATTTTTGTATGTATAAGAGTCCATGGTTTTTAACTTTTCAAAAGTTTTCAATTTTCATAAGAATTTTTTTAATCTTGATATTTCGAAATATTTAACATTTAACATTTTTAAAAGTTTGACTTGAAATTACTTAAACAACCGGCGAGTTCGGTGGGTAGATGTCTTTTGATACAAAAACAACATTGTTGTCTCTGTACCAGTCTAATACCGACCGCGCGTAGTGGCAGGATGCTAAATCCGGCCAAAACATCGTCTCGCCTCCGTGAGACTGCGGGAAGGTTAGTTGGCGCTTCTGGAGGCACTAGTCCCAGTAGTTTTACCCGTTGATAGTACCCGTCGTGATGTTTGGCTGGCTCATCTTGCCGCACCCACAGATGGTATGCCAAAGCCATAACTTTTTGGTGAATTTGTCCACCTTATTCTTCCTTACCTTACCTTACCCAGGAATGGGAAACCAAGATGTGGTAATGTAAAACTCCTGCCCTGGCAACCGCCTTGTGTCCGCACCTCGGTTTCGTCAGCCACTCCCGGTCCGGGTTTTGGCCACCGTGCCAGACACCAGATGGAAACATCCGCCTTCTGCGCCGCATCACGGATCGAAAGTTCGGCCGACATTTGAACGGACTAATCACCTTGCTGGCCTTCACCAGGTCAGCTGTCTACGGTTTTCCATCGCAGTCTGCCCGCCGCTGGGTCGTCTGGGTCTCATTGAATGACTTCACCACCCGGGAATTCGTCGAATGATGGATTTCCAGGCGTTTCCCGACGGCGCACAAGATTTTTTGGTGGATCTGCTCTTGCTCCGATACCATCTCGATAACCTCTAGACAGATTGTGGTGAAATTCTGCCAGCGTAAACATTCCACTCTTAGCTAGTTTCAGTCGAAATTTCATCAATTTCATCAATCTAAAAAGTTACAAACTAATCAATGAGTCACACTTTAGTACAGTCTTTAAAATAAGCATGAAGCTTTACTGTGATAATTTATTAACTAGAGAAAGTTCTGAAGAGGATAGGTTGATAGTTCCGTTACAGTACGGAAGTGCTAAATTGAATGGAAATTGAAATTGAGCGAAGGTACTAGTCAAACACAAGGAGTGTGTAAAATGTAACAAATTCAAGATTTAGGAAAATACTGCTGTCGTAGTAATTACCCATTTAACCTAGTGGTTCTTCGCTTCAATCGTTATCAATGTTATGCGTTATGTTAATGTATATCGCTCAACGAGTAAATTTTCCAAAACTCCGATTACATCACAGAATAATCCCGGGAAATTGTCAAAATACATCATGTTATAATATATAAAAAAGGAAATTACTAAACTCACTTCAAAAGCCGTTTATAGGGAATTCCGTTAGGACATTTGATAAAATTAGAGGAATTTATGAAATATTTATTGTTCGTGCCAGCGACATTTACCACCTTGACCTTAAGTAGAAAATATCAACCGTAATAATGGATAGATATCACCACTAGTTCGTACTATATTGTTACTGGTTCTCTGTACACGTTAGAGTATCATCTGCCTCCGACAGGTCAAGACGGCCCAAATCATCATCGTCAAAATCAAAACACAACGTAGAAAATCGGGTCTGTATATAAGTTTCTTTGACAAAAAATGCGTTTTTATTTCAATCCATAATACACGGGTACCATACATAAACGATATCATAAATGGTGCGACCATACCGCATAGAGTTGGGATGATACCCCGAATTTGTGGTTAGGCACTTCTTAAGATATTTTTTGCGGGTCATTTTTCCCCGGGGTACATTTTACCTCATGTTCCCCTATATAAAAATAATAAGCTGAGTATCGAATAGAACAAAGTGCTGTCTTTCGAGACCCTTTCTCAATATAAAGGAATGGAGTGTGGTTATTTTTGATTGCGGACAAGTATCTTAACTTTTTAACACTGTTTCAATAATCCATGCTAATTAATATCGGAAATATATTTTCACAAGCAAACGCTACACAGCAAAACACAATAACGTCATTTACGTAGCTCAGTCTACCTCGATCACCCATCTAGCGATGTGATGCGATGCGAACAACTAGTCACTAACCACATTCTATTTGTACGGTCAAGTTCAACGGATGTGTTTACAGAGCACTGGAATCCGCAGATTTGCAAGTAAACTTTGCATTACCCCACCATTTCCATTCGCGTCCTGTGTTTGGAATTTGCTTCTTTTCTTTGCTCAAATATTTACGGATAATCAAGTTCTTGGCGTAGATTCCCACCGCAAAGCGACAAGAAATAAATATCTAGAAATTTAATCGTGTTTTCATCACTCCGAAAAGCAGGGAGTGGCAATCCACCGGTGGAAGGGTTCTCTAAACGAGTTTACATTGGACCTGTTGCCGCTTATTTACTGTCTATCTGCTGTTTTTCTTTTGCTTCGAGAGCGATGATATACTTACGTTTTAAAAATGCGTGATTACAGAGTTTACCGGATTCAACATGTGTACACATTGGTGCCGATAGTGATGGGAATGATATTGGATCACCTTCGTTTACTTTAGCACGAGTTTTAGTTTGGGGAAGCAGAATTTGTTTTTACTTCGATGTATAAATACATCGCATCAGTACGAGCTTTTAATCCCCTAGGAAAAGTAAATATTTGAAATGCTTAATCTCTTTTTTTGATAACTTTTTTCCAACGTCTCCACTAATTTAGAACGAATTCAACGTGTTTCTCTTTGCTTGATCAGCGCCGACTTCGATGGGGAGGGAAAAAGCATATACACATCAAAGTGAGCCACCAAGCGTTCTCCATTGACAACTTACTCCAGCGGAAAAACGCTACTTTTCCCCGCTTATAGCAAAGCCTACTCTTTATTGTGGTTTATGCTGAATGTTGTGTTTTGTTGTTGTATTGTTTTCCCCATTTTGTACATTCCTTGTCGCACGGCGCACGACATAGGGCACAGTCAGACAAACAATTTTCCATTTGAACGCACAATTGCCTCCCACTCGATGCCTGCTCTTGGCCTAGACGCTAGACGAAACCGATGGCTTCTGTCATTAGCGACTTTGGAACATCCGAAAAAAGTTACCGGAGAGCATTTTTGTTAAACGACAGAAAGAACCTTGTTTATTTCACTTTTTTATTCGCGGTTTTCATGGGTCTTTTTACGAGAAGCGGTTTAAATGCACACGAAAAAAAATCGGTACTTAAGTACAACATGGCATTGTTGATTCTTTTTTTTTCCTTTCCGTTCTCCCCGCAGATGCTACCGCGGCTACATCCGTTGGCCATTTGTCCGCAATGACATCGTCAGGTAATAATGAGAGCACCGGGAACAATTGTACACGTTGAGATTAGAATCTTGAAGTGGTCTGCGGTGGCCGTTCCCGTTGTCACGACGCCCTTCGCCATCAGCATAGCCGTGCCATCGTCGTCGTGGTCGTGCAGCGCAACCACCGTTGTTCGTGGTATTTGGTCAGTGCTTCCTGGGTGGATCGCAGCAAGCGACGAAAATTAGACGCGTTCAGGATAAAAAAAAAAGAGTTAAGGCTATAGAGCAACTGCAAAGGAAGGTAGTTTCTCATTTCCCGGTCGTCGTCGTTTTTTTCGCCAGTATATTCACACTTGCCTTTTGAGTTCAAATGTATCAAGGCTGACAAAAGGGTTCATTGCTTTAAGGATTACAGCCGTGTACGCTCGGGTGAACGAGGTCAACTGTCGTCTTTTGTTAGCTATCTAGGTAAGTAGGCGATCTTTTTGGATTTGGGAAACTTTGTTTGACGCTTATTTAGGGGTGAGTGCATATTAGCGTCTGATGTTGAACCAAACAAACTGTCAAAGCCAGATACAATCGAGCAGCGCCTATCTTGATTTCATTAGCAGTGTTGCTAGAATACGCCTAGGCCTAGGCGTTCTAGCAATTGTACGATATTTTTAACCAGTATCTATAAATTAAACAAAATTCCACTGTCCCCCACCTTCTATGCAATTTACGCTTAGCGGCACACATCATAATGCTAATACCAGTGAGAAGCTATAATATCCCCCTACCAGATACAGACAATTGCATAAAAATTCAAACAGCCACTACAAACAATCAACAAATTCCTGACCAGACTAGCCTCATCCTTTAATTACCTTTTGAATTTTACTTAACTCTTTCTGCTCTAAAATTCACTTGTTAGCCAACATATGATCGAAGATCTGATTACTAATGGAATTGGTTAAAAGGCCTCCCTTAGCTCAGTCGGTAAAGGCGCAGCTACAAAGCAAGACCATGCTGGAGGTGGCTGGGTTCAATTCCCGGTTCGGTCTAGGAATTTTTCGGATTGGAAAATTTCTCGACTTCCCTGGGCATAGAAGTATGATTGGACTTGCCACACAATTATACCAATGCAAAAATGGTACAGGCATCGAAAGCTCTCAATTAATAACTGTGGAAGTGCATCTAGAACACTAAGTTGAGAGCACGCAATAAGCTAATATGCGATATACAATAAGCTTGAAATGCGAAGAAGAAGAAGAAGAAGGTTAAAATGACAACTTCCCAAGGGGAAGGTCACTCCATACACCAATCTTGGGTCATCTTTTTTGTCAGTGTGCCGCAGGTGTGTCGATTGTGCCGGTCATACCCATCCCGGCAGCCCGGTATTTTTGACACCTTGAATGTTTTGGTTTGAAATTGCAAGGATTGAAGATGACGCGGGAAGTGGCGGGTGTGAATTTTGACGTAGGACTACGTCTTTGATTTCTATATGGGGGTACACTTTGTGAAAACCGAAAATGGAACATGTAACAAATTAAGAAAGATTTTGAACGTTAATAACTCAGCTGCCCCTCGTCCAATTTCAATAATTTTATCACCAATCGATCAGAAATATGGCTACGCATTGATAAAAATGCTTCCAAATGTTGATTTTCAACAAGAAACTATTGAAAACCTGGTAAATGTTCAGCATTGTCCAAAAGCGTCGAATTAACTAACAAATCCACCAATTACCTACATGCATATGCTGCTTCCCCAGCACAGTCGTCAGAGAGTAGTAAGTAGACGAAACAAGTCGAAGTGGCATTTGCCTCCGATCCTCGGGCGCGTGCGAATAGGGAGAATGGAATTGCGTGATACTTTACACACTCATCGCCATGTTCAGAACCAAACGCAAATTCTTCGAGATAACCACCATCCGTCGTCTGGCTCGCCGTGGCGGTGTCTGACGTATCTCCGGTTTGATTTACGAGGTGTGCTGAAGGTGTTCCTGAAAAATGAGATCCGTGATGCTGTCACCTACACTAAACACGCCAAGCGTAAGCGGCCATGGATGTCATCTACGTTTTTGAAGTGACAGAGACGCACTCTGTTTGGTTTCGGAGGTTAAATCATCACCAACATTGGAAACAAAACGGCTCTTTTCAAGGCCACCAAACTTATTACAGAAAAGAGTAGGAATAGAATTCATCTGCCTGTTTGTCCATATTCAGAACCACCGACCACACAAAATGCTCATGTAATCAAACTGGAAGCAGGGATACAAATTATTTTGATCAACCTTGATCAACTTTGAATCGCCACGGCCGGATATTTTCGATGGAAGAAGCAACAATCTAGCATCTAATTCGACGAAGACGTCAGGAAACATTTCTGGATCAACAATAGAATAGGGCCCATCAGCATTTGTAAACAAACCGTTCCAAAGCCTCACAAATCGAAGGCCGCTCACACAAACCAACACCAACATCTTGTAGGTAGAAGTTTCCCCTATCCGATGATGGTGTTGGTTTGTGTGGGTGGCCTTAGCTTTGTGAGTAAAGGGCTTTGGAACGGTTTGTTTACAAATGCTGATGGGCTCTTTTCTATTGTTGATCCAGATTTGTGAAGCCGAGTTATTTACGAAAGAGAGTGTCGATGAAGAGAATCGATCAATGTAGATAGGACCTATTGAAAAGTGACGCGAGATTTGTTTTCCGTACTGAGCTCCAATGCTACCGACGCCAGGGAGGCAGCTCCCAGAGATGTTATGCCTTAGAACATGCCGATGGCGCCGACTGAGATTGGACCCAGGCCTGCTGTGGTGAGAGATAATCACGCTAACCACAGACGTCGATATCTATCAGGAACTCAGCGATGAGTAAATTTGCCTCATGTTTTCCCAGGTTACACGCGAACCAAAGTACGCCCACGCAAACCAACAACATCATCGCATAGGGGCAACTGTCACCTTTCCGAAAGTGGTATTGGTTTGCGTGGGCGTACTTTAGTTCGCGTGTAAAGGGCCTTAGAATGTTTGTTTACAAATGCTTTTGTGCCGTTATCAAATGTTATGCCTGATTTGATCAATTAAAAGAACTTGATGCTCTTCACATTTATTCCGTCCACTAGCGGTCCTACGTCAAGCTTCCGTTCGTGCCCCTAGGCACAGACCCTTCTACTTTTTTTTGTTTTTTGTGTTCATATTATAATAAAAGTCCTAAAACACAGGGTTTTATAATGCCCTCAAAAGCAGACTAAAAATCTAGACTTTTGTGATGTGAAAAGCAACGACTATAGAGGATGTTGAATAGACTTCTGTAGTTTATTTGGTAAGGGTTGCAGGATTATTTTAATTAAAGGTACTTATGGGGTCTTATTAACTGCCTCTTTCTCTTGAGCCCACTCTAGAACCTACATTTCGTATTTAGATCGGCTAAGTGAACTGCTGGTCTGAGTTCCTCTGGTATATTCAATTAGAGGATGTTTCTGAATATACAGTCAAACAGCACGTAATTTTGTGAATAACTTCAATGACAGTTGTCCAGCGGTACTCGCAGTTTATTTACAATAATCCAATGCCTAGAAGATTGAGCCGAAAGTATGCCAAAAGTGTGCCGATAGATGTGCCCAAGCTGTGCCGAAACATATTTAAGGCCTAGTTGCCGTCCTATGCGGACCCCCCGCGTCCTATTCTTCCCCCGAGACCAGCCTAAATGTAAAATTTCTCTCTATCTCCTTATTATGCTACCTTTCTACAATAATCTTCAAAATTAAACTTGTCTTTGTCCGTCTTAAGTAACACTTTTCTGTGATAAAATGCTTCATTCCGAGATTAGTTTCCTATCTAAAGTATATTTTGTATATATTGCTCACCCTAAAACTTTCATCACGATCGCCTAATTCCATCCCAAAGCACCCCGTCATGTGAAATGGTATTCCCAAATGCCACATCCGAACACACAACAAAACACACAACCATAATGGAAGCATTCACCTTTTACGAAAATGAAGCTATACATACATTATTTATGATAACAATTGCAGTATAGGTATTTTTGGTTATACCGTGCCGATTCAAATTTCGGACACTTAAACTCGAATTTCGGACACTTTTAAAAGTTGATTATCTCGGTCGAATATGATCCACATGTCTTGTAAATTTTAAATTTTTTTGACTAGTGCCCTCCACGATCATCTAACATTATTACTTTGTTTCTAATTGGATGTAATATTTAATTAAAAATGAAAGTGTCCGAAATTTGAATCGTCCGAAATTTGAATCGGAACGGTAAATTGAATCATGCTTGGCATACACAGCTTTGCTCACGAACTGCTCATTTGCTAATAACTTTGCACAGATTTGACGAAACATGGTTCTGTTTGAAGCAGTCGATAGAATAGAGTTTAAGCTTTTTAAAGATATGAAAAAAAAATAGGAAATTTTAACTATAGTAATAAACTGTATTTGATTTTGCGTTGCAAAAATGAAGTGATTTCTCACTTCATTTTAGCAACGCAAAACCAAATTTCTGCTCGCTGCACATCTCGGACTTTAAGTGTCAAAAATCATCGTTGTTGAGTCAAATGATAATATTTACCTTCTCTTTGCATGTCTACAGTAAACTATGATCCTAATCTATCAAGTACATTAAAGAAAACTAAATTTCAACAACTGAGTCAAAAGTTATTAACAAATGAGCAGTTGGTGTGTACAACTGTGCATGCCAAGCATGCATTCAATGCTAATTAATGAATGAAAAACAATGAAAGTACGTCATGCAATAAATAGTGCACTTTTTAGTCGTTTTTTCTAAAGTATTTGGAATAGAGATAGAATGTACATTATTTAATTTAATTAGTATCGTCCAATTCAAGAGTGAATTGCGGCAAAACCCGCTGGTATCACACCTGAATCAGGTGACCTGATGTCAGTCCCTTTATATAAACGTACTACAACGTGGCCTAAGGAAAGAATATGTCTTGGTCTCCCATGCAGGCTTACAGCATGATATTAAGCTCTTCCACCTTCGGCAAGGTGCTTAAGAATAGTCAACGGAAGGGCTAGATTATTTACAAGTATCTAAACCGAAATGTCCACCCTTGGTTAGTTTGGGTCTAGCAGGGTGAATTTTGAGGACAAATCGGGAAAGCGTATACTTCATTCCGCCTTCGAAAAAAAAAAATAGGTTGGTCCGCGAAAAATTTCAAGATCCTTAGATTGGACTATATTTTTAGGATAAAGTCACTTAGAAGAAACATTAAAAGATTTTTTTGCAATTTCGAAGAGATTTTTTTAAAAGAAAATGTCGTAGGGAGTTCTGACTAGAACTTCAAGTCGATTGTGAGAGTTCAGAATACAAATTTTAAAATAGTTTAGAGTTTAAGATAATTATGAGAGATTGAAAAGAGTTTTGAGAGAATTTTAAGGAAAGTTGCAAATGAATTTTCAGAAGAATTTAGAGGTAAACTCCAAGATTATTCTGAGGTGAATTTCATGAGAATTCCAAGGAGAATCCAAGCGAATAAAAAAAATGGAAAGAACCGTCAGTGCGTTCTAGAAAAAATAATAAGGAAAATGCCTCAGCAATCCATAACGAGTAAAATCAAAATTGTTCATAGTGGATGAAAATTTTAAAGAAAAACAAGTAAAACCATGTAATGAAATTTTTCCCCTGACAATATTTTCTTGTTTGAAAATATAAAAAAAATCCTCATTTGTCAAAGTTTTTCACACGTGGAGAAGATGAAAAACCGTGACAACTGCAGGCAAACAAATCGTCCGCTGACAGAGCCTGCTACGCTCACAAGTCATTTATTTTGCGTGTGAATATTTGTTGTCCATTTAAAAAATTTGCCACACTTTTGTATAACACATTGCTTCGTCTTCTTTCTACCCATTGCAGATATCCCTTTTCATTGCCGACCTGTCCAACGACTGCACCGTTGTATGCCGACTCCTGAGCCGATAGTCCCAGCAGAAGAGGAAGATGACGAACGATACGGCGACAACGAATGCCGCCTACGATCAGGGCAACTGTAAGAAGCGAGAATCGTGGCACACGAACGGCGATGCCACGGATCCACCGGGAGGCGAGAAGGATGATGGAACCGACCCGGACTCAAACCCTGGTGGTGGAGGAGGCTGTGATCAGACAAAGGAGACGACCTCGTTAAATCCGAAGGGGAACAAGGAACGGGCACTGGTGGTAACGCTTACCGGGGAGCGAGAGCGGGAGACGTGGAGCCAGAAGGCCGAATTCCTGTTGGCGGTCATTGGATTTGCTGTGGATTTGGGCAATGTGTGGCGCTTTCCGTACATTTGCTACCAAAATGGGGGTGGTGCATTTCTCATTCCCTACTGCATCATGTTGCTGTTCGGCGGGTTGCCTCTGTTCTATATGGAACTGGCCCTAGGGCAGTTTCATCGGTGCGGTTGTCTTACGATTTGGAAACGGATTTGTCCGGCACTGAAAGGTAAGTGAAATTGGAAAATTGTATTCCATTGATTTGTCCCTTTGGGATGGGATTCTTTTTCCTCGGCTTGAGATATGATTTTTTTTCTAAATGCGAGAAATGCTTGGATCAGCAAATTACGTTTAAAGTTTTTAGCAAAGTTCGCGTTCGGTAGCAGTTCTCGGACCTTAGTACTTTAGTACATTCTAATTGATATAATCAGTGGACTTCTGTAACAAAAGAAAAAAACAATCGTGAACGTGACATTTTCCTATTCCAGCGCATCTTAGCAAGCTGGAAATGTAAGATAAAAAAAATCTCAGTAACCTACCGATAGAAGTTTCCCTAGGACCTACGCCAACTTTTTTTCCTAACCTAGAAACGAAGACACCGAAAGGAGAAGCTTTCATTACGTGATGATTTACTACACTGCATCACGGCCTGCTTCGATCCAAGGGGGAATTCGTCATTCGTAATATTTTCACTTCGGCACATTCGCTTTGTGATGGCCGGAAAGACGAAAGCTAGCAGGAATCAATAAGGGTAAAAACTTGAAACTCTTGTGATCTGGCTTGGTTCGTCAGAGTCGCACACACTCTCACACTCAAGGAGAACTGACGGAGTGCGACGGTGTGGTGGCGCCAAACTGATACCAAAAGTAAACAGTTTTAGAATCATGTCGGTGGTATATCGTCGTTTGGCGGGACCTGGGATGCTACGGATCGTTATGGTGAAATGATGAGAAAAGATGAAAAAAGAGCGAACGTTGGGGAAAAATATCAAGGTAATAAAACACGTTCAAATATCGGCTATCTACTATCATCGGTTGCTCTGTGGCTGCTTGGCTGACTGACTGACTTTCGTTTCCCATATAAAACTTAGCAGGATCAGAACAACAGATGACGACGAGAAAAGGCAAAAAGGTTGCGCTGATTTCCAAGCGAACCGGAAAAAGAGTCAGCGTTTTCGATTTCTCTCTCATTGGAATGCTCAAGAATGAAGCTGGAAAGTATTTGATTTTCCTGTGCTGCCTAAAGTTGAAAAAATTATACCATGTGTGTATGGTTTTCACTCGAATTGATTGAATTTACGTGTAATTGCAGATGACTTTCCATCACAAAGTACTTGAAGTTAAGTTGTTGAAAAGTAGGCGTTGAGATTGTGATTTTCTGAATAATTTTAAATTGTGATTTTCAAGGCAACTTAGGCCATGAAAAGTTGTTTCTGTAAGAATCCCTGTGCCATTCCAAGCACTTCAAACCGCTTACTGAGACTTGCTTCGGAATATGGATAAATGACAAGCACGAGATGGAGTCAACTGACTCCATTGCCAACCAGACCAAGAAGGATAATAACTTTAAATTGTTTATGAATAGACAATTTACTTTGCATTTAACCTTCCTCCCATGCCGGCTGAAGCAGCCGGAACGGAAGCCGTGATCGTATTGATTGCCCAGATTGAGATGGTAAGAAATTGAATTAAATTTTATGTTTCACATGAACGATAACTCGTTCTTCGTTTTCCGCTCGGCTTGAGCGGCAGCCGAAACCGGAAGGGATACAGTCTTGAACGACGATGATGCGGATGTTCCAAATCAGAGCCATCTGAAAGATGGCCTTGGTGATTGGAGGAAAACTTTAATCGACTCCAACCGTCATATCGTCGCAGTTGGCTGTGAACTTGATTAGAAGTTCGGTACGTAGATGAGAAGCAATTAAAATTAAAGCTCGTCGCACATCCAAGCTTCTTAAAGAGCCGTTCCTAACGGGTTTTTGGAGAATGTGGGCCAGAGACAGGCTACCGGGTAGACGGAGATAACGTCATCAACAGCACTGGCTCGGCTCCGGCTGAATCTACAATCACAAATCGTAATTTCTCCGAGACCAACTTATGCGGGTTAGTGAAGGACCTTTTCCCCCATTGTAGTGTATCTAGGCGGAGGCTGAGATTTCAATAGTAGTTAGTACAGCAATCATCGTCTTTTGCTCAACGAGTGCCGCATGGTAAAACTGTTCCGAGTAATTAATTTGATTTTGCAAAATGATTTCCCTGTGCAGGATTCTAACTCACACGATGAGGCAGTATGTCCATGTGCATGTGCTTCGCTAAAACTTGCTGATCAATTGAAGGAAAATCTTCGTCTTCACACGCGGTTTTCAGTACCGATAATCTTGGTAGTAATCCTCGCCGGTGTTGCATGAAATTGTGTATCATACAGGATAATGCGTCGTGAGTCGTTAAACGCTGTTCTCGGAAAAATCGAAAGAACATGAAAACACACCAAACAAACATTTTACGCCCTGCCTGCGTCCTCTTGTACTGGTAGGACTTATTCTCGTCCCTCGTTAAGCATCTCGTTCAACACTTGAGCAGGGAAAAAAAATGGGGAGAAATAAAGCAGCACTTCACCCGACACCAAGCCCATCAGCAGGCGGTTGCTGCATCATAGTAGGCATGGATTCGTCATTGCTGAATCACACAACAAGCGAGGGTGACTTGGATGTGGGAATGCGGGGCGAGCAAATGCGTTCTCGGAGCCTACTCTGACCAATTTTATCGCCGCTTAGCACCAAATAAACGAACTTACGTACGTGTGTGGGGCATCGGTGTGAGGATGAGGCTGGGTTTTTTTTCTTTTGTTGGCACTAAGAGTGGGAGTGGGAGCGAATAAAGGATGTGGCATTCAACAAGTGGTGAACCGATAGGAAAGAAACAAAATCGTGGTTGTTTTGGAGGATTTTGTGGATTGACAATAAGGAGGAAATGCTGATGAAAATATCAGTTTGTTTGAAGTGGTTTATCATGAGGTCTTATTTTTTAAGTATCCGTGTGGGGGATTATGATACACTGGGTAAAATATTATCCCATCGATGGTGTGCCACTCGGTGGCGAATACAATTGAATGAATCAACGGATTGCAGCTAGCTCAGTTTAGTCGGTTGTTTCTGGAATAGGGTCCACGTGTGAAAATCGATCAAATGTCTCCCGTGTGGGCAGTTACAAAAGGTTGGTTTTCATTGCCATCGAACGCACGGGAAATTGGACACTCAAAAATGATATTGGTATCCATGGAAGCAGTGCACTGCAGTGGCGTAAACTTGCTATAATTAATAAGGGGTACAAGCAAAATTTTGAAATCAAATTTGAAACATTAACATGTTTCGTTTTGGTGATAGGATCTTTTCAAGAGAAATTTGTAGAAGTTGAAATTAAGTGAAACATTTTGGCTAGCTTTATTTATTCGAGGCTCCATCAAATAACGATTTTTATTTCTGGATAATGTAAGGAGACGGGACAGGTCAACTTTGTACCTTGCCCCCCCATAAAAGTGGGCACCCATGCACTTATTCTACTCGTCTACAGTGCGCTTTATTTGCACAGGTAAAAATAAACAACCACAAGTAGGCTGGACAGTCCATATTTGTTTATTGTTTAGCTTCCATATTTGTGGCATGACATAAATCTTTCCCCCTCCAGTAGGCTACGGTAAATCAATGTCCACCGGCAGCCTACTTATCTGATTTCGCAAATGAGTAAGCAATTAAGCACCTGTTTCTCTACTCTTCCCTCTCTGCTCCACAGGTGTCGGCTATGCAATCTGCCTGATCGACATTTATATGGGCATGTACTACAATACGATTATCGGCTGGGCGGTGTATTATCTTTTCGCCTCATTTACCACCGAGCTGCCGTGGACGAAATGCGGCAACCCATGGAACACGGATGCCTGCATGCCGGTCACGTCAATGGTGAATGCCAGTATGTTGGCAACATTGGTTGGACCTAATGGAACTCTCATTGCCACCGGCGTCAACGGAACTATCGGCCTACTGGGGAATGTGAGCACCACAGTGATCAACGCCGCCGCTAACCTTGGCGAGGATATAGTGCGGACCAGCCCGGCGAGGGAGTTCTTTGAGTAAGATTTTATTGTAGCTGTAGATGGTTTATGAGAACAAGGAAAATTGAAAATTCCTACCTTTCCGATGACAATGGTCATCGACTGTTTTATGACGGTCTCCCGTGTTTTTTACGATGATACTCATCATTATTTTGTGGGTGTAAATCACGTGTGATACATATACTGTTACTCGTTTCCCCCAATAGGCGCCAGGTTCTGGAGCAGTACAAATCGGACGGATTGGATTTTATGGGACCGGTCAAGCCTTCGCTGGCGCTGTGTGTCTTCGGGGTGTTCGTGCTGGTGTATTTTTCCCTCTGGAAAGGTGTCCGAAGTACAGGCAAGGTGGTATGGGTAACGGCATTGGCGCCGTATGTGGTCCTACTGATCCTGTTGGCACGAGGTGTAACACTGCCCGGAGCGGCCGATGGCATTCGATACTACCTAACTCCCGAGTGGCATAAGCTTCGCAATTCCAGAGTAAGTACATCTATTTACGGCCCGCATTTTAACGGTAATTCATTTCACTCCGCTGACAGGTTTGGATCGATGCCGCCTCGCAAATATTCTTCTCCCTGGGACCGGGATTCGGTACGCTGCTGGCTCTCTCTAGCTACAACAAATTCAACAACAATTGCTATCGCGACGCTTTACTGACGAGCAGTATCAACTGCCTAACCAGTTTCCTCGCCGGATTTGTGATTTTCTCTGTGCTAGGGTACATGGCCAACGTGCAGAATAAATCCATTGAAGATGTGGGCCTGGAAGGGCCGGGACTGGTGTTCATCGTCTATCCGGAGGCGATCGCTATGATGAAGGGATCGGTGTTTTGGTCGATAATTTTCTTCCTCATGTTGATTACGCTAGGGTTGGACAGTACCTTCGGAGGGCTGGAGGCGATGATAACGGCTTTGTGTGATGAGTACCCGAGGACAATCGGTCGGCGGAGAGAGTTGTTCGTGCTGATATTGCTGGTGTTGATCTACATATGCGCGCTGCCGACGATGACTTACGTAAGTATTAGCTTAATGTTTGATTGCGCTTTGATTTACAGTCATCATTCGTTGGTTGGGACAGATCCTAACTTCATCTTGAGTTTTTCATACGAAAGAGCTCACTACATCATTTCCAAGTATCAACAGGGAAATGTCATGGCTAGTTTGATGTGCAATCTTATGATGGATAACTACTTAGGGACGTCAAACGATAAGCAAACACGCAGCTAAAAACCACTGCAATGAGTAACCCTCCCCCTCCTCAAGCGAATGATGACTAAAGTAGTATTAGTAAAAAGAACTGTAAAACATGTAAAAACTACGGTTTAAAGGATCTGCAAAAACATTATATTTAATCGTATAATGTTTTGGAACTTCAAAGAAGCCTTGCAAACATTGATATCTTTTCTTAATTTTAACACAGTTATATCTGTTAAATGCACCAAATTTCAGCATCGCAAAAAGTTCCATTGAATTAAAAAAAAATCTTGATTAGAACCATTAACGTGACTACAATGCTCTCACTTTAGAGTTCAACACGTTTTTCAACACTATGTATTTAGTGACTGTAAGATCCGTCAGCAAATACGACCTCCTGAATATTCTCTCGAATAACTCGGATCACTCTTTTCACATTCTCCCATAAAGAGTTTAAGGTTTCCAATCCCACTATTACTCGTGTTGGACAATTGATAGAGCATACTAGAATATGTTAACTTTCGTTAGGTATTGGGATAAATATGATCCGAAATGAACTGTCAAAATTGTCTATGGTATGAGCATGTCCAGGTGAATTCTTCCAGAAAAAGTCAAAATCTGGCACGACTAATCCGATCTGATTAAAACTTTCAACATGTTTTCAGCATTGGAGATTTTGATTTTTCCACAGATCACGAGACCATGACACAAGATTAATTTTTGAAAAAGGGCGTATGTGTTTTGACGTAGGACTACGTCTTTGATTTCTATATGGGGGTACACTTTGTGAAAACCGAAAATGGAACATGTAACAAATTAAGAAAGATTTTGAACGTTAATAACTCAGCTGCCCCTGGTCCAATTTCAATAATTTTATCACCAATCGATCAGAAATATGGCTACGCATCGATAACAATGCTTCCAAATGTTGATTTTCAACAAGAAACTATTGAAAAACTGGTAAATGTCCAGCATTGTCCAAAAGCGTCGAATTAACTAACAAATCCACCAATTACCTACAAGCATATGCTGCTTCCCCAGCACAGTCGTCAGAGAGTAGTAAGTAGACGAAACAAGTCGAAGTGGCATTCGCCTCCGATCCTCGGGCGCGTGCTAATAGGGAGGATGGAATTGCGTAATATTTTGCACACTCATCGCCATATTCAGAACCAAACGCAAATTCCTCGAGATAACCACCATTCGTCGTCTGGCTCGCCGTGGCGGTGTCTGACGTATCTCCGGTCTGATTTTCGAGGTGTGCTGAAGGTGTTCCTGAAAAATGAGATCCGTGATGCTGTCACCTACACTAAACACGCCAAGCGTAAGCGGCCATGGATATCATCTACGTATTGAAGTTACAGAGACACACTCTGTTTGGTTTCGGAGGTTAAATCATCACCAACTTTGGCAACAAAACGGCTCTTTTCAGGGCCACCAAGCTTATTACAGTAAAGAGTAGGAATATAATTCATCTGCCTGTTTGTCCATATTCAGAACCAACGACCACACAAAATGCTCATGAAATAAAACTGGAAGCAGGGGTACAAATTATTTTGATCAACCTTGATCAACTTTGAATCGCCACGGCCGGATATTTTCGATGGAAGAAGCAACAATCTAACATCTAATTCGACGAAGACGGCAGAAAACATTTGTGAAGCCGAGTTATTTACGAAAGAGAGATGAAGAGAATCGATCAATAGGATAGATAGGACCTATTGAAAAGTGACGCGAGATTTGTTTTCCGTACTGAGCTCCAATGCTACCGACGCCAGGGAGGCAGCTCCCACACCTGGACCCTACCAATCGACCCATCATCTCAACCGTGGACCAACGGCTTTACTTCCCGAAGGAAGGCGTGATCAGAGATGTTATGCCTTAGAACATGCCGGTGGCGCCGACTGAGATTGTACCCAGGCCTGCTGGGGTGAGAGGTAATCACGCTAACCACCGGCGCCGATATCTTTCAAGGTGATATCACGGCGAATGAGAACGACTCAAATTTGAGTTTAGTTATCTCAGAAATAAGAAATAAAGTGCAGGAACTCAGCGATGAGTAAATTTGCCTCATGTTTTCCCAGGTTTTTCCAGGATTTTCCTGGGAAAAACTCCCGAATTTGAGAAAAGTAAAGATTGGATTCACTCAGTCTATTGGTACTACTCCGAGACAGAATAAAATTTTCGTCTATTTCCTCATTTTCTGGCAGATTTTTTAGGTTTTCCACAGGAAACCATGAGACAAATTTACTCATCGCTGAGTTCCTGCACTTTTGGCGATTATGAGTGAACTAAACTCAAATTTGGGTCGTTCTCATTTGCCGTGTACGCAAAAGAAAAAGAGCCAGTGTCGCTACTTGATAGCAAACTACTCATAATGGGAGAAGTCTTTGTAGCTTTTATACCACTTGGTTGCACATCATTCTGCTTTAACCTGAAAAGAGCCCTGCTGTATGGCATTAGCTTATTTTCGCTTCGGACGGCGTAGTGAGCAGCAATAGCAGCAGTAGGAAGGTGGTGGCTAGTCCACTCCTTCACACCCAACAAGCAACAATTGACTGGTCGTGGCAAAGGAGGAAAAGGTCTGGTAAATGAGGTGCCAAGCGTCATCGCAAAGTTCTTCAAGATAACCACCATCCGTCGTCTGGCTCGCCGTGGCGGTGCCAAACGTATCTCCGGTCTGATCTACGAGGTGTGCTGAAGGTGTTCCTGGAAAATGAGGTCCGTGGTGCTGTCACCTACACTAAACACGCCAAGCGTAAGTGGCCATGGATGTCCTCTACAATAAAACGGCTCTTTTCAGGGCCATCAAGCTTAAATCAGTAAAGAGTTGGAATAGAATTTATCTGTGCTTGTTTGTCCATATTCAGAACCACAAGCCCCCAACGACCACACAAAATGCTCTCCAGAGTTGTAATCTTGTAACCAAACTTGGAAGCAGGGGTGCAAGTGATTTTGATTGATTCTCTTAATCAACTTTCTCTTTGAAAAAAATTACTACAAATTTGGTACGCCTACAATTCAAAAACGGAAAAAGTTGAGATAATTGATAATTGATCAATTAAAAAAATGATCTTCACATTTATTCCGTCCACTAGCGGCCCGAGCAAAGTCGGTTAACAAAATGAAAGCAAATCGATATTAAAGTTTGCAGTTTCTATCATAATGAAAACTCATTTTGATTTCAATTGTCGCGACATAAGTCTGATATCATATTGTGATTTCATTATGCAGTCAAAACTTTTTAAATGAAAGCAACTTAGTTCTGCTCTTAACGTCTTGTTTAAAATTTAATTTAAGTTCATCTGTTGTTGAACTAATGATTCTTGTTTATTTGTTTTGTTTAACACATTTTAGATCATTCCTGACTTGCCCGGGGAGAGATTTGACTTATTCAACTTTTAAGTCTTTCAGCGTGAGAAGCATGGATGCTAACCATTTATGCCAGGGCCGTATTCAGTTAAACATTATGAATGCAAAATGAGTAATCAAATTGATTTCATTGAAAGCAGGATTAGTTTTCCGTTTGCTTCAACAGTGTAAAATTTTGCTCTCATTTTTGCTGTGTTAACCGTTAAGTCAACCAAAATGAGATCAACTAGAGTATTCAAAATAAGTTACATCATAACAGCAAATTTTGATTTCAATTTGATCTTCAGCTTTGCTCGGGGGTCCTACGTCAAGCTTCCGTTCGTGCCCTTAGGCACAGACCTTTCTACTTTTTTTTCTTGATTTGTATTCCGTCGATCTTGTTTTCCGTACTGAGTTCCAATGCTACCGATGCCAGGGAGGCAGCTCCCACGCCTGGACCCAATCTATCGACCCATAAACTACCGGGGATTGGGGACCAACGGTGTTTTGAAGGAAGGCGTGATCAGAGATTCTATGCCTCAGCAAATCCCGGCGGCGCCGACTGGGATTAAACTTGGGCCACATATGAATTTTTCAAAAAGATCGAACTCTAAAATCTTTTATTATATCAAACTGTATCTGAAAAGAAGTTGTAGAAAATTTATTGGAATTTGAAGGAAAAAATACACACTGAAAAAAGAATTATAAAATTTTTGGAAAAATAAAAATAACATTATAAAATGTGATTAGGTAGGGGAATGGATGTAATGTCGGCCTAAATGCCTCTAATTTGGGCCGATACATAAATTCAGCAATCGACTGAATTTTCAATAGTAATTAAAAATATCCATTCGTACCGTTCCAATGACGCGTATGAATAAGATCTGGATACATATTTCAACACTTTTCCACCAAAATATTGCCAATTCATGGCTTTCTCTTTACGGACCCCGCAGGTTCTGCTTTCCATTCTGGATCAGTTAGCCTTTTCGACAGCTATACGCAGCCGTTGTTAACGAGAACAATCGTAGTTTAGATCTCTGTTTCTTAAGCGCTCCAATCATCTCGTCGGCTCCATCTCCACCCGTAAAGGAAGTTCCTCATCATCCTCCTTTGGTTATTTTTGTTCAAGACAATCACATTCAGGGTTTCGAAGAGATCTCCACTACGGTGTCTTACAATTTCAGAAAAGCCGTAGCATTGCTGATGTGTTGTCAGCCATTGATTGGGACAACATACTCGATTCTGATAACGTCGAAATCGCTGCTCAAACTTTTTTACATGTCTTGGCTTATGTCGTTTGACAGACACGTCCCTAACAGCGTTCACCAGATTGTATCGCACCTCCCTTGGCAGACGAACGGATTGAAGAAGCTGAAATTGATCAAGAGAACCGCGTTGAGGAAATTCACTGAATATCGCACGACGTGGCTGAAACGTCACCACGTTAAGCCCAATTCGCATTTCAAGCT